TAATAGGTTTGTTAACTACTTTACATTCTGAATTATTTTACAATTATATTCATAGACAGCGTAAATTATTTTTGGTAAAACTTAGGTAAAATTTCATCAAATTACTGTATATTGTTCACATATGACTTATATCTTTAATATCATATCTGTAAATTTTTTATCAATTCTTTGTAAGTAAAATTTTTTATAATTATTGATAAAATTTGATCTTTTTCATTTAAACCATTAGGATTAGCATCAAGACTTTCACAAAATGAATACTAAAAAACATTTGCAGTACTCTTAAAATTTTCAAACTCTTTATTTCTTATTGTTGAATTTAATTTGGTATTCAAAAATCTATTTGAATATAAATTGAAAATGATTTTCTCATCACTTCTGATATCTTTAGCATAACTCCAAAATTCTATCTATAAAATATTTTATAATTAGACAATAAATAAAAAAAGCAATCAAAATTTTAATAATATTTATATTATTAGATATATCTCCTTCAAATTAAATAATATTTGTATATCCAATTACTTCAAAAATTGCTCTCTATGCATGAAATTTACATGCATTGATTTCATGATTAACATTATAAATCTCATAAATAAAACTTTTTATTTCAATAATTGTACTTTTTTAATTATTCTAATAATTAATAACACAATTCTAAAGTTCTTTATTTTCAGAAATGTGTTTTTTAAATATAATTTAAATATGTGTTGTATAATTCCTTTATTATTCCAATCATTAAGAGTACAAGTTTTAGAATTTTTATATAGTTCTTGAATTTTAGATTTTATAAGCAGATGATTTAATCCAAAAAGATCATTACTATCATAATTTTGTAATAATTGAGTTTGTTTTCAAACTAAAGAAGCTGAATTATTTTAAAATTGTTTTATTAATTTACTATCTTGAAAAATACTAATTAAAAATAATTTCTTTACAACTTTTTGTCAAATTATACTTTATTTTTGTCTATATTTATACATTAAAAAGGATGCAAACCCTTTACCATTATTTTTATATAAAATAGATGTTATAAAAATCTTAATATTATATGAATAAATTATAAAAGGATGAAAATCTACACTACCAAGTATTTGTTGAATTATATAAGAATTATGAAAACCTAATAATGTTACTCTTGGATATTTTATTTTATTATTTTGACCAAATGCTTTTTGATAAGCAGTATTTATAACGCTAGAAGAACTAGATAAAACTTTACTATTAACTTTTTCTTCTTTACAAATAAATCCTGATATGTATGAGTTTTGTAAATTTCGAATTATTTTAACAGTAAAATATTTTATTTGAGTTTTAAAGTAACTTAAAAGCTAAGTCTTAATAGAATAGGATATATATTAGAATTTTCAGATTCAGAGTCAAAAAATACCATTAATTTCGCAAAAAAGAGTCATAATAAAGTTCTAAGATAATATTGCCTAAAGTAATAAGTTTTTTAAGATTATAGTGATCTTTTGACATTTTTAAAATTGCAATTAGTCAGAAATGTGAGATTTAGAATAAGCTTATTTTAATTATAAATTATAATCTCACAGTATCATATAAATTTTCTACCCATTATGTGTAGATCAGCAATTAAGTTTTGAAAATTTTATTATAATAATTTTTTAAAAATTTTCTTAAAATTCATATGTTTGCAAACTAATTGAATCACTTTACTATTAATAAATGTCATAAATTTCTTAGTAAATTATAAAAACTGTAATAATTAAAGTTAATTTTCATAATAAATTTTATAATATTTTATTATAATTAATATTACTAAAAGTAAATGTTAATAAGATGGTCAAAGGTTAATGATAAAACTTTTTAATTTATAATTTTTTTAAAAATTACAAATTTTTAACTTATAAGTAACTTTAAATTATTTATTATATAATTAAAAAATAAAATTTACTATAATATTATATATATTTATAAAATTAATTTTTTAAAAAATTTTTTAAAATATTTTAATTTTTCATAAAAGTAAATCAGAAGAGAATTTATAGTAAATAAGCAGACAAATTTGCCTGTAAACTTCTACAATCTAAGGGATAATATTTTTAATGTCTATTCTTAATAATATATTCATTATACATTTAAAACTTCAAATATATTAAAATATAACAAGTTATATTATTATATTACTATAGATTAGCATAGATTTATAGATAATAATCAAAATGATTATAAAAAACAAGTTATGTTTAAAGCACTTATTTAAAATTTACTAAATTATTCTATTTTAGAAGTATTTAATTTAGTATATTGTATTATAATAAACTCCATTTTATTATTTTTTTAAACTTATTATTACTAATTATTTTACAAAAAATTTAATCTAGTATTTTTAAAATAAAACTAAATGATATTTAATCTAAAACAAATGTTTTATTCATTTATTAATTTTTATTTACAATGAATAACATTAATTCATTTAACTATTTAATATTTGTTTGTTTGTAAATACTATATATTTGGAAAAAAAATATTCTATGAGTGTTCTATTAATGATACTTTAAGTATTCTATTAATGCACCAATTAGAGTTGAAAGAATCTTTCCTTGTTAGTTAAAAAATGTTAATTGACCCTAATTTAGATTTTAAAAAAATTTCTTACAACAGCTGAAACGAAAATGTAAAATCCCTTAAGTTATTGTGAACACAATGTTCAATAAATTATGCAGAAGATAGCTCTTTGTTTTAAATGGTGATTATTTTTCAAAGTCATGTTAAATTTGTCAAATTACGTTCACGAAAGAATACTGTAGGTATATATAAATAAAACTCGATAAGTATTCTTTCAAAAATTTTTATAGGCCTGTATCTAATTTCATTAAATCAATTTGTTTATATTAAGCTAACAAAACAATAACCTTTTGATGAGGATATTTTGAGAAAAGTTTTATTATTTAATAAACCTAATAAATGAGTTGAATGAAAAACAGAACATCGAAATATCAAATGGTGTAACAAATACGGTGTGATCATCAATTATGAAAGAACTTAATAACGAACTTGGCTTGCATTTGAAAATCTCTTTGATAAAGGGATTTAATGATTTGTCTATATTAGGCTAAATGACAATAACCTTAAAAGTTTCTTTTTGACAACGAACCAACTTTATAAAAATTGAGAGAAAGGAAATTTATTAAAGAAACCTGTAGAATGAAAGAAGTTGTGAATAAAAAAATTTGTTTACAAATAATTTTTCTAATGGCGTGTGTAACAAATGGAATGGCTATCATCATTGACTTTTTCAATTATGTATTATAATTCGTTGACACCCTGGAAAAATTTTTTATTGAACATTGATTCATAACACGAAAACCTTTCAAAAACTTTGAATGGACTTCTTACTACCAAACGCGTTACGTATATCCGTAGTATGATTGGCTTAAACGTTAGGAGTTGCTGATTTAAAATTTCTTCTGGAGTTAAGATTTAATCAATCAATGTATCGGAAATACGGAAGCGAAACGACCGGAGTAGCGTTGAACCAACCCGATAAGGATACTGTTTTCCAATAAAGGAAACACAAGTGATCTGAGCCACGGTAGTAAAAGGTTCTTTTAAGGAATTCTAAAAGAAAAAAAAAGGAAAAAAAACTATTCCGAAACAATCTCCATGCTTTATGATATTTGAAAAGTGCATTAATGCATTTGGCTTGTGATGAAACCTTTGACCAATGAATGATGATTTCATAGTTTTATGGCACAGTAAGATCAAACTTTAAAGATTCATGTTTGTTTTTTTTACATTGCCTATAAATATCTTTTAGCCAAAAGAATGTTTAAATTAGTACTAACAAAATTATCCATTATAATGACAATTTGAAAAAAAAATTTGTTTTTAGAAAAATTTCCTTTATTTTACTCGCTATACACAATACATTGTTTGAAATTAGCCTAGTTATAAATTCCTTTAAAAGGTTTAGACTTTAAGTTATTAAAAAATTTGGAGATATTTTTAATTGTGTAATCAAGGGATCGCATTTATATATTCGGAACAATAAGACTTAATTTAATTCAAGAAATCTTTTTTTTTTTTTTCTTTTATATAGATTTAATTTAATAAATAGGAAAATTACAAATCAACATGAAACGCATTTTTACTTTTTTTTACGTTGCCTTTTATGATTAAAATAAATAGCATTTTAACCCTTGGATAATTTAAAGAGAGACGATTCGAAAATCTTGTGTACAAACAGATAAATCTATAACCCAAAAAATTATTTCAAAGAGTACTTACATTTCGGGATTAAACGGGGACATGCAATAGATTAAAATAAAAAAGCAAATTTTTTATGTAGCAAATACATGTTTGAATACAATAAATTTATGATTGACTAAATGATAAAATACTATATATAGGAAATTATTTTTTTTTTTTATCCGATACAAACATGGTTATTTTGGTTAGGGTTGAAATATAATTAGTTTTTGAGTTAAAACTAGCTCGGATAGTAAATGGGAAAATCAAGAGAGAACGATTTTTTTTTTTTTTTTTTTTTTTTTTTTTGAACGACACATGTGGTGTAACTAGAATCAAAATAGAATAGTACAAAATTCCATGGGGGAAATTTCCTCAACTTCCGACTTTTTTTTTTGCCAAGTGCAAGATTTACAACAATGAAAACATTGCAGTGATTGATGGATTAATGAATATATTTTTCCTTTTTCTTTTTTAACCGCAGCATCACAATGAAGAACTTAATTATCAAACGAGAAAACTTTGATATGTGACTACTTTATAGAGGAAATTTCATACAAACCATAGCACAATCAGAAATAAAAAAATCCAAAAGAACGAAAAATTTTTAAATTCAAGAAATTTTTCAGGGAATATTTGAATTGAACTTTGAATTATGATATTACGACGTAATTTACAACACTTTGGTGAACCAAAGCAAATTAGGAACGGACCGTGATGAATCTTCAATATTCTATATATAGAATACCCGAATAAGATATATCCTGATAACAAAACTTTATTAGTATGGGAGGATCAAACTTCACGTGGTTCAAGAAAAGTTGTACTGGGACGGGCTTGAACATAAAAGCTTTGATATTCAAGGAACTAGGGGTTGTAAGAAGAAAAAATAAAAGGAAATAAAATAAAATATAAACAAAGACACAAACAAAAATAAATTATATAAATAATTTATCAAATCAGAATTACAAAGTGGGCGTACATATCCTGTAACCTCCATATTTATAATTAATATATTACAACAACATATTTTAGTAGAAAATACATAAACAAAATCATGTAACAACAACATGATGATTGTTTCGGATTTAAACTATAAATAAGGGTACTTCCCCCTTAACTTTTGGGAATTTTTTTCTTGTTATTTTGCTCTTTAATCGTAATTGCTTCTTCTTTCAAAATATAATCAACTTTACAATATTTATTTTTTTTTTTTTTTAAAAAAAAAAAAAAAAAGATAATATTTTGTGTGTTTTACTTTTCAAATAAAAGAGCCAAAACAAATAACCACCACCACAACCAATTATAATAGTAATAATATAAAATAAAAAAAATGACACAAAGATTCGTAATCTCATTATCATTATTGATTCTTTCCTTTATTATAGTACTCACAAATTCATCCCCGTTAGAGTTAAAAACATCTATCGAAAAACGACAATTCCCGGATCCATCAACACAACAGGGCCACGTGGCATACGCTGATTTTGATCCCACAGTCCCTTATTTCGATGTCCTCGAACCAATGACAGGAAGAATCACATTCACAATTTTGAATGATGGTGCGATTCGAGTGATAGGTCAATGTAATACTGGCTTTACTGACCCTGATCCTCGCCTTTACACCATCAAAATAGTGCCAAGACCTTTGTGCCCTCCTTATATTTTGGTCGATTTAACCAAACAATTACAATACTCTATTAATATTCCTGGAACTTCTGCTTTTCAAGCTGATTTTTATAATTTTAATTTGGATCAAATCATTAATTTTTTCGTGGTGGTTAGAATGGGCGGTACTCTCATTGGTGCCGCTGAAATTAAGCGTGTTGGGATCAACCCGGATATGTAGAGCTGAAGTCAGGGTGTCGGGTGAGGTGGTTGGGAAAATTAAAAAAATAAAAATAATTCTCTATTTACAAAAAAAAATTGTTCTTTAGAAATTATTTTATTTGAAAAAAAAAAATATATATTGTAATTTTTCTTTTAACTTATAGCAATACTACAGTCTTCTTTATTTGTAAATAAAAGATTGAACAAAATATTTAATACCAATGAACTGAGAATTCCCAAATTTTTTTTTTTTTTTTTTTGATATGGTAATGCAAATCATTTGTATTTGGTTAGCTCATTGGCGTATTGTGTATCATATGCATAATTATTCCATAGAAATCCGTCGCTCAAAAAAGGAATTAAGAAATGGGTATAATTTTTTGGTGTTGAGAACTGTGGTACAAAATATTAAAAATACCTCCTTTTTACTATATATGAAATTAATATGACTTTTATATTCATGAACTTGGAATGTGTAACGTTTCCTAAACTTCAAACATGTAACCGTAAATTATCATTGCGAAACCTAGTGATTTCTTTAATAAATTGTCCATCAATTTTAGAAGGATAATTTTTCGATCTTGAAAATCATTGTAAATCTTTATTGGAATTATTATGGAGGTAAGGCAATATATTTTCATAAAAGTGCAAAAGGAGGGACGAATCTTTCGACGGTAATTAATGATTAATTATAGCAATAGCTTTAAAGTTTGAAAGTTGGTTAAAATAAATTTTTGGATAATCCTTAAAAAAATAAAATAATAATAATTTATCAAAATCTCGACTAAATTTCGATTTAACTATAATAACATACATTTTTGTCCTTATCATATCAAAATTAGTGAGACAAATAAAATAGATATCAAATATAAAACAAATAATCCCCCCATAAACAAATAACTTAATTCGGATATTAAAAAAAAAACCAAAAGATAAGGGAATATCAATTGTTCCTTTTCAATGAGAAACTCTGTAAGTAAATCCCGCTCATTAATTTTTTTTTTTTTTTTTGTAATTTTTTACATAAAAATTTAACATCAAATTTAGAAATTAATTGATATCGATATATTATAAAAGCTTTTTTTATATAAATATATATAAAGCTATTAATATTATTTATGATTATACAGAAGATATAGATTGGTTATCCATTTAATATTTTTAGTCAATTAATCAAAGTTTTAAATATTTCTTATTTTTTAAATATAATACAAAATTATTTTTTAAATATGAAATGTTCTCAATAAACTTAACTATTTCCTTCTGATTTACTTTAATAAAAAAAATTCATAACCTAAATCATTATAACAAAACGTTTAGATTAGCTTTTAATTATAACTACCCTTTTATAATTTAGCTAGCCTTTCATAATCTAAATAACCTGATTATAGATGCCTGCCGAAAATAATTTCGTCATACCCTTTTCTATGTTTTTAATATAGTTTCGACAGTTTCGGCTTTCGTCGTATCAAATGGGTTTCGTCGTATCCCTTATTATGATTTTAATATAGTTTCGTCTAAGTTTCGACTGTTATTAAGGGGTTTCGTCCCTCATCTATAAACCTGATAATTATTACATGATTTATAACTAATATACTAGTAAAAACCTAAAATTATTTTAAATGGTAAGTATCTCATTAAAACCTATTGAATGGTAGCATTTTATACTTCTGAGACCAATAAAATAGTAAGATATATGAGTTTAAAAACTTAACTTTTTTATAATATATTTATCTTTAGAAAATCATTAGTTTATTATATATTTTTTTAATAAATTATTTTAAAAAATGTTTAAAAATAATTAATTATTAAATAAAATTACAGGTAAATTTATAAGCAAACTATTAAAAGGATAAGAACTTTATTATAAAAATTAAGATTATTTATAAGTTAAAATTTTGTAATTTTTAAAAAAAATTTTTAATATTTTTTTTAATTTTTAGTAGATTTACTTTTAGTTATATTAATTATAATATAATAATATATAAAATTTATCATGAAAAAACTTTATTATATAATTTTATAATATTAAGATATCTTATGACTTTAATTAGTAGTAAATTAATATATATATATAAGGTAGTTTATCTAAAATCATTTTAGATTTGACAAAATATCTAAATTTAGTTTTGCTAATTTTTACTAAAGTTTTAATATAGTTTTTACCTTTCCTTGATTTTTTAATAAATGTTTAATAAATTTTACTTTTTACCATTTAAATGATTTGTAAAACCTTTAGATTTCAAACTGTAACTTTAAATATATTTATATATATTTAATTCTCTTAATAATCACACTTCTTAGAACTGAAAAAAAATGATATAGTTATAAAAAATACTATATAATTTGACTAAATGAGATTTTTTTTAATAAGTTTATTAATAACTTGTACTAATATAAATGTGCTTATAAAGGAGAAAGTGAATATATATAAGTGATTATGAAAAGATTAACTGTTAATAAATTTTAAAACTTATTTTAAAAATGAATTATTTTAAAAACTTTTTAATAAACTAATAATATTTTTATTTTTAATAATATTAAATTATATTTTATATAATAATTATATATTAAAATTAAAGTTTATATTTGTTAAATATTAATATTTTTTTAAGTTATAAGTAAATCTACTAAATAATTTAAGAAATAATTTATAAAGAATTTTCTAACTCTTTATAATATTCTTTAATTTATCAATTTTTAGATTTTTTATTTAAACTAAATCTAATTCAAATTAAAATTAATTGCATTTTTTTTTTAAAAAATATTAAACCTTTATTTTGTAATTTTTTTAAAAAATATGATAATATTTTTATTTATTAAAAAATTAAATTCAATAATAAATATATAAAAAAAATTCTAAAAAACTAAATATAATTACAAAAAAAACCACTTAATAATCATAATTGATACAATTTAACTTTTACTAAAATAACTAGAAGTTTCAATAATAATACTAATAAAATTATCATTATTATCTAACTAATATAGAGATAAATATATAATAACTAATTATTACTTAGCTTTATTAAAGATATTATTAAATTAGCAATAAATTTTATTTCTTTTTTCAGTTTGTTCATATTATTTTTAAATGTTAATATATTTTAGCTCAGCTTGTGTAATAGATTAATATAATTAAATAGTAATGCTTTATTTTTAACATTAATCAAAGTAGAGAAAAACAGTAATTATATAATTTAATATCATTAGAAATAGTTATTTGCTTATTAGAAAAATCTTTATCATTATAAATAATAATATATTTATTAGAAAAATCTTTATTATTTAAGATTATTATTCAAGTTTTCTATTATCATTAGAAATTTATATTTAAAATTTTAAATAAAATAGATAATAGTAATATTATTGTAAATTTTTTATGAAAGATAATATTTTAATCAAAATAAATTTATTTGAAAGAATAATGAGTTTATTATCAATAAAGTTAATATATTTTAAATATTTTTATAATATTATCAATATTTAAAAAAATTATATAATTATTTAAATTCAGTTTCTTTAGGTTTAATTTTAGTATATCTACATAAAACTTATTATAATAATAAAAATAAATAAGATAAAAATGTAAAAATTATATTATTTTAGTTTAAAATAATTATATAATATTTTATAAAATTAGTAAAAGTACTATTAAAATATTTTTTAAATTTATAATTAAATAAATCATACTTTTTGTAATATTAATTGGTTGAATCTATCTAATATAAGATATTTTTAATAATATATTATTATAATATCAAGTCTTATAATGTAACAAAAGTAATAAAAATATATAATCTGAAGTAATATTATTGATTTTAAAAGATAAAATAAAATTTAACATTAATAAAAACTAAAAATTAATAAGTATATATTGATCATATTAAAAAGTAATTCAGTTAGTTTAAATTCAAATTGTTGATATAAAATTATTTGCATAAAAGTTAAGTTAATTAATTCTACTTAAAAAATGATTTTTAAGAAAAAACTGATTATATATTATTATAAAAGATTTAATAGTTTCATTATTTTTATATATTATAAAAATAATTTACTAAAGTTTTCAAATAATTATTAAAAAACTGATAATTATATTATATTTAATAAAAAAAGTTTCTAATTATTTCTAATTTAAAAAAAAAAAATATATTAGAAATTTATATAAAAATCTTTTTTAAAATCAATTTTTATTATTAGATTTAGCTATAAGGTTAGCAATTAAAAAGATTAGATTATATTATGTTTTTTATACCTTTATAACTGTATAGTTTAGTATATCTATAATATTAAAGTAAATGATGAATTTTCTATTTTAGATAAATAATTTGACACTTAGTAATCATATAATAAATAAATATTAAATTGATAATATTAAATTTCTTTGTAATAGAATTTTTTTATATTTAAAATTAAATCTATTATGTAAAATATATTAAATTTTAATAATAAATATTAATGATAATTTGCTATTAATATAGATAAAGTATTTATAATAAAAGAAAGAGTAATAGGTAAAGTTATAATAGAAGTTAAAGTATTAATATTATTATTATTTATATTAACTAATATAATAACTTTAAAATATAGATGCTTTAGAGAAAAAACTACCAAAATAATTTTTTTTAAATTAATATAAAATCTAAATTTATTTTACTAAAATTTAATTTGTAAAGTAAAAAAAATTTTTTAGTAGTTTCTTTTCTTTCTACTATAAAATACTTATATCAGTTTCAATTAGTTATTTACTATTTATTATATTTTTTAAAATAATGTTTTAACAATATTATGTAATTTATTAGAAATAATTTGTTATAAATTTTCAGTAAATTTTTTTATTTTTTGCTTATATATTTATTATCAATTATTATAATATTTCATTATTTATAACTGAGAGATCCTAAGATATTTGTTAATATCTTTTGTTAGAATTCTTTTATTTTAAAAATTTAAAGATTTATTTTTATAAGCTTTTGTTATTAATATAAATAATCAGCAAAAAAAGTTTGTTATTATTAA